AATTTTCTGTTATTTTTCAAATATTATTGATAATGCTCAGCAAGGATGATGTCTGGATAGCATCCACAATAGGAAATTCCATACAGTGACTAGCACATAGTAAGCACTTAATAAATGTTTGTTCTCTTCCCTTGCCCTCCCATACTACAAGTCCCTTCATATCAGTCTCATCAGACAAATCACATTATTCTACTTTCACTTTCTCAAAATGTAGAATGTGTGTTAGATGATACAGTGACTTGTCTTCTGTCATAAAGCCAGGATGAGATGCCCATCAATTGGGGAATGGCTGAACAAGTTGTGGTATGTGATTGTAATGGAATATTATTATGCTATAAGAAATGACAAGCAGGATAATTTCAGAAAAACCTAAAAAGACTTATATGAACTGATAAACAGTGAATTGAGCAGAACTAGGAGAACATTGTAAACCATAACAGCAATATTGTATAATGAACAACTGTGAATGATTTAGCTATTCTCAGCAACACAATGATCCAAGACAATCTCAAAAGGACTCATGATGAAAAATGCTGTTTCCCTCCAAAGAAGTAACTGGTGGCATCTGAATAAAGACTAAAATATACTATTTTTCTTTCTTTCCTGCTTTCTCTTTCCCTTCCTTCCTTTCTTTTTTTTATTCAAGTTTTCTTCCACAAAATGACTAATATGGAAATGTTTTACATGATTGCACATGTATAACCTATATCAGATTGCTTAACGTCTTGGGGAGGGGAAAATGAAGGGAGAAGGGATAGAATGTGGAACTCAAAACTATAAAGAAATGAATGTTTAAAAACATGTTTTTACATGTAATTGAGGAAAAATAAAACTTTAAAAATTTTTAAAAAACAAAGCCCAGGATAGAATAAATACTGCTGGGGTTCCCGTCATTTCCATCCACCCAAGAACCAATTTCTCACAATTAATTAAAATCAAACCCAAAATAGAATTTCCTTTTATTGATTCTTCCACCTTTTGAAGGAAAATACTAGAATATGTGCAGAAGACTTATTCAAGATTTCCCACTGCTGTAATGGAGAGATTTCGAATCACAAAGACCTGAGTATAAGTCCTGGTTCTGCCAGTTACCAGCCATTTTTCTTGAGCAAAGCATCTATGTTTTCTGACCAAGTACCATATTTGTGCGCTTCTGCCTCACTTAACTCCAGTTCATGCACAAGTCAAGACATCAACCCATGATGTCAGTGGTCCTCTTTGAAAATGAAAGACAAACAACAACAGCTACTTTCTTTGAGACTCAGTTTCCTCTTATGAAAAATGAAGTTAATCATACTTGTACAACCCATCTCAAGAGATTTTTGTGAAGATCAGATGAGATTGTATATGAGATAGTGCATTGTAACCATGAAGGACCAATATAAAATATCAGCTATGGCAAATAACTAACAAGAATTTCCATAATTGACTCTTCCCTAGCCTGAGCACCCAGCTTTAGGGTCTTGAAGATTTTTCTCTTGGTTGGAGATTACGGTTCTTCTCCTTATATTCCTCTTTGAAATGAAAATATTCAGGTTTGAAACTGCAGACCCAGAAACAGCAACATTTCAGCATAAGGAGGTGCTGGGCTCCATTTTTACCTCAGCCGAACTAGTGGAGGGAAAGAAAAAAGAGAGACATTGAGACATAAAGGTTATCTTAGAACACCTTAGAGAGGGTTACAGGCCCTTATAGTTTAATTATACTAGAAAAGTCCAGGAGACAATGAACTTGCCCTAGGGCACATATATCTTCCTTACCTTTGTGTCCCCAGCCACTTAAATCATTTGCATAAATCTCTACAGAAACTGGAGATGAATACCTGGACTAATCATCATAAGTAAAAGTGGAGCTCAAAACTTGAGGGAAGCCAACTCTGAACTCAGGATTAAGGAACCAGAGAGCCTAGAACTCTCCCCCTTCCTGCCTGGAGGTAACAAACCTCAGAGCTAAGGCTCTGAAGGGGTCAAAGAATAGAAGGTAAAGGTGATTATCCTTGCTAAACTGTAATCCTTAGCTAACACTCCAGCTGGGAAAAGCTGTGTAACACCTAGCCAAACCAAAGGCTGGCAGAGATGACTCCAGCTGCCCGTCATTGAGAGTCTAGGGAAAGAACCTACGTAGCAGAGATGCTACCTGCAATGAAGAGTCCAGTGGTCCAGGAGCAACAGCTGCCCATTAACCAAGTGGCCTAGCTGTTCAGCTGTACAATAGCCTGCCCAGATCACACCATCACCAGCTGCTGCCCAGTCAGCCTAGAGGGGTTGTTACATCATTTACAAAAAAAACCTGCTGTGACATCTGGGTTGCCTTGATATTTATGAAAGGAAGAATATGTTGAAATAACTGTCCCGAAATTGAGAAGACTTCTGAACAAAGTCGATAATTAGGATCATGTTATTGCTGTCATCAACTGTAATCATTTTTTTAGGAAAATTTGCTTGAAATTTCTTTGCTTTTTTATTACCATTATTACCTGTCAGTAAAAAGTAATGTACTTAATTTCATGTGTGTGTGAATCACATAATATTACTTTCCATAGAGAACACCGAATTTTTTAACTTAACTGACAGCTCTTACAAAAGTATAGCATTTTGCTTAAGCTTACCAATGATTAGCCTAGATGAAAGAACCTCTGATATGGGGCAGCTAGGTGGTGCGGTGGATAGAGCACTGGCCCTCGATTCAGGAGGACCTGAGTTCAAATCTGGACTCAGACACATAACACTTACTAGCTGTGTGACCCTGGGCAAGTCACTTAACCCCATTGCCTAACTAAAAAAAAAAAAGGAAAAAAAAAAAAGAAAGAACCACTGATATACCAAGTTTTATGAAGTTAACATCCATAATGTTAACCAATCCCATGAGGAAAGACAAAACAAAAGATAAAACCAAAACAACAAAAAACCTAATCCTACAGAAAAGAAAAAAATCATCATTTGGCACCTAGTTTAAATGGCCAGATTATCTTAATGTAGGATTCTGTGATATGGTCAGGGTTGATTGTAGTATGCTAATAAGTTTATTGCAAAAGGGCATTGCTGGGGGGAACTGTTATATACAGTATGCATGTACAAGCAGCATCCTAATTCATGAAGTTCCTAACAAAATTCCCTAGTTGTGAATATTGCCCCAAATTTAATCTTCAGCCATGACACATATATTTCGAATATGCCAATACATGTTGTAAAACTTCCCTGGTTTTTTTTGTTGTTGTTGTTATTATCCCTGCCCTATAGCTTGCTGGCAGGTAGGTGGTGCAATGGATAGAGTGCTGGGCCTGGAGTCAAGAAGACTCATCTTCCTGGGTTAAAATCTGGCCTCAGACACTTACTAGCTGTATGACCCTGGGCAAGTCACTTAAGCCTATTTGCCTCAGTTTCCTCATCTGTAAAATGAGATGGAAAAGGAAATGGCAAACCACTCCAGTATCTTTGCCAAGAAAACCCCAGATGAGGTCAGGAAGAGTCAGACATGACTGAAAACTACTGAACAATAACGTGTCTTGGTAAGATTCTCTGTTTACTCTTTCCTCTTACATCAGTTCAGAGTAATAGATAGCATAGAACAGTATTAGCATTGGCTGCTACATGGCTCCTTCAAATATGCAAAGGCACCCACAAATATTATTTGTATAGAAGTTGCACTTAGAGGTTGTTGTAAGTATTGTTATTGCTGATGGTGATTTTACCCACCTCCAGGACAAAAGTACAAAGCACTTCAGATATGGGAAGCATGGAGAGGATAATCTGGGTTTCCCACACCAATGCAGCTCTCTCCCTCCCTTTCTTTAAACAAATCAAGGGGAACTCCCTGAATTTCAGGAATATTGCTCCTTAAGCATCATGGAATACTTTCCAGTCACGGATTAGCTGGCAGGAGTTTATTAAGAGGGAAAGATATTTTAGAAGTAAATTGCCAGAAAGGGGACCTTATGATAACAGATTTCTTGTAGGTATTGCTTTAGGATCATATTTTTAATTTGTGACGAAGAGAGGATGGTAGTATCCTATTTAGGAAGTGACTCTTTACAAGGCATTTGTAAAACATAAAGTCAGGAAGCATGGCTGTGCTACTGATTGACCAAGTTATTCTCTTCATCGTTCCATGCTTTAATGTCCCCATGGGGATAAAAAAAATTGCCACTTTACAGGTGACTGAAAAAGCATTGCCAAACTACAAAATTGCTGCTATTTTCTACAAATCATATTCAGGAAAGAGAACCAGCCTGCCTAGAAAGCATGTGTATGGAATATAGGCTTTAGAAAGCAAAAAGTTAATCCTGAAAAATTTGAAATGTCTAGACCAAGTACTTGGGATATCATAAATCACATTAAGAAACATGTGAGCTTTCGTTTAAATCTTTAGATAAGCTGTTTGAATAATAATATGTTGAGGAAGCTTCCAAATACCAACCCCTCAAATCCAAAACTGAGTATATAGAGAAAAACATCAATAAACTCTTCAAAGAAAAGACTACTAATATCACCAGTCATTACCCTTCTCCCCATCATCATTATCTAGCTGAAGGAACTCGGCAATGTACTATGCACCCTGGTGATATAAATGTCATCATTATTGCTGTATTTTTATTGCTCACAATAACGTGGTGTTAACACAGCACAGCATCCAGGTACATTAAATCAGTTATTGAATCTAAAGTCTCTAAGTTGTATGGCAAATATCCAAAATGATTACTTTCTTGAATCGGTGCTGTCACATGATAAACCTCAGTTATTCAAGTCGTTTAACACATGCACAGAGTCTCCCTGTCCCCAAGATGAAAACTAACTTCATGTATGGTGTTATTAATCATAATTTGTCTCTACAATCATGAACCTTAAATCACATTTTTTCTAACTTCTCTCTCTCTCTCTCTCTCTCTCTCTCTCTCTCTCTCTCTCTCTCTCTCTCTCTCTCTCTCTCTCTCTCTCTCTCTCCCCCCCTTTCCTTCCTTCTCTTGGTCCTTGCCTTTCCTTGATTTCCTCTGGCCACCTGAGATGCCCCAGTAGAAGATGACCCTTCTCCTTGCGCCCTTGACACGGGACATGGACGGCAATGCCAGAATGGCACGATATGTAAAGCAGGGTGGGATGGACCCAAACACGGCATCACCAACTTTGACAATTTCGCCTTCGCCATGTTAACTGTGTTCCAGTGCATTACAATGGAGGGTTGGACAGATGTGCTATACTGGGTATGTATCTGGAAATGGGAGGACCAGGGGGGAGAGGAAGCAAAAGATACAACATTTTGTTTGGAGAATTTTTGAATAGTTGGCTCAGAAGTTACAGGGATAACAAATCCCCTTTGAGTAATATTTCTATTATCTCCCTTTTCCCTAACTTGACTCCCAATCCAAAAGTATAAATGTCCTTTTTCTTAGGCCTATAAAAAAGAATCAGGCCTGGTCTCCTAAGAAGAAAGATCCCACATCAAATGAGAATTTTCATTGCATTTCATAGTACAATGGTTGTGATCAATGGATCCTCCCTCCCACTCTCCCAGTTTCTAATGGACCAGGATAGCTCCCATGGAGCTGGGCATGAGCTTTGTTGCCTTTCTGTGGGAAACGTGCTTTGTCCCTTTGTGGAAGGACATGTACCTTGTTGACTTGGTGTGGTAATTCTTGATTGTCACCCATGACAGGAGTTTCATTAAAGATGATTATTAGCCAGAGTCAGAATCAGCTGATCACTCCATGGCCAATCGTCTTTGATACAACCACTGTCACTGGTGATCGATCAATTGGGAGATGCATTGTCATCTCAAGAGAGTGCATATCTTTCAGTAAGAGGCCAGAGAACATGTACCACAGAAAGAGATCCGAACCCATGTCCAGCTCTGTGGGAAGTCACCCAGTCCAGCAGATCATCAGGGTCCGCTAATCACCATGCTGAATTGTAATTCTTAGATTGATCTTGTCATAACATTTTAATCATTCATTAGCCCAATACATCAGCATCAATTTTCACCTATGACTTAAATTTTTAAAACCTCCTGTTTATATGACACATATCTGGAAATGCCACCTTTTTAATTAATACCAGTATGGTATGAATTCCTAGTTCCCTAAGAGGTTTAGCCTTTGTTTTCCAACAACTAAAACTGGCTGTATCACATGCCATCTGGTTGACCCTTATGGAAATCTGGCTTAAGATCTCAATGAAATGTTACCCTATAGTCAGAAGTACATATCTACATTCATGCAACTTTTCTCTTCCTCTAAATGATATCTCTATCCTGGTAAGGCAAAGGCTATTTTTGGCACACAAAAAAAGCTGATTTTTTTCTTTTTAAGTATGTGATATCTTACAAGTATTTGGGACAATAATGTATACTGCCAGCACTGAAAGCACAATCTTCTCTAGAATTTTGCAAAAGATTTGGAATTCATGGAACCTGCCTGAGTCTTCTTAGGAAGCGGGGTGGAGATACCATGAATACAGTATATATGTAGAAGGGGTCTTACACCAGAGTGAACTGAATGTTTGGGTGGGGAATTACAAAACAGCTAGACAATATAACTGAAACCAAGGAAGCAGCAGGATCTTCCTGCCTCAGAAAGAACATTCCAGGAACAATGTAAGGGTCTCTTCTAGAGAATTTCATATTGGAATAATACTTTCATGGGCCAGGTGCCAAGTCCTCCTGATTCACAAGGCTCCTAATCCCCATATATTTGTTGTAGTTCATAAACCATAGGTGGATGCTTACCCTGGTGTAGAGAATCATTTAGGGGCATTCAAAACTAATCAAAGCACTGGTATAATTCTGAGAACAAACTGAGAGTCATACAAATGCCAAGTTACATTCTAAGCCAAAAATAAACTCTTAAGAAAATATTTGTGAGACCACAGACTAAGACATTTGTTTGAATTACTTTGAAAGGCAGTAAATCAGTTTCCAATTGGACAAGTCTATTCTGTTGAGTAAATCCTACCAAATCCTACCAAGGTTTTGACAAGCTCTTTGGTTTTTCCTTCCATCTTAGGAAGGAAGAACCTTTACTTCGTCAATGCACAAGTAAAATAAAAAAAACAACAACAACAACAATTCTCTCCCTACAAATGAATAGGTAACAAAATGTGTGATTTATAGGATGGCACATTAGAACTTTATCATATGAACTTCAAACCAATGTCTTAGGTTGCTATGGCAATTCCTGTCAGTATTAGATTGGGATATGGAGGGCAAGATGGCAGTGGGTGGTTGGGGGAAGGGGGGTTGGGAGAATAGGTATAATTTATTTTAGTGACAGCCCCGATATAAATTGTGGTCTTTCATTACTCCCTCCCTTTTCCCCCAACCCAAGTCACTGGTACCCCACCAGCCAGATGTGGTATAGAGAAACACTGTCATAATGACACCCAAAGTAGGGAACAGTGAGAAGCATACAACTGCAACTACCAATTTTCAGCAGCTGTGTTGTGTTTTCTCCCCTGGAGTTTCCAGTACTCAGAATGGAAATGGAAGGCATTTTAGGGGTGACGAAACAATCAAGGTCCCAGGGAATATTCCCCTTTGACTATTCAAGGAACCTTTCAACAAACGCTCTATGTATATACTTATGTGCACACATACACATACTTGTTCTTGGGTTTTTGTCAATATTTTAAAAGTAAAATGAAATTCTGTATGTGTGTGTATGTGTACATATATATATTTTTTCTTTTTTTAAAAGAGGAGACAAACAGACAGACCAGCATGTATAAATGTGCTATCTACCTAACCTAGAATTTCAATCTCCTCCTTGGGTATTCATGAAGAGCTGGGTAACACTCCAGCCCAACGCTTCTGCTCACACAGAATTTCTTATTCCTCCTTCTTTCCACTCCCTTTTTTTTCTGCCTTCCTCTTCTCTACCACTGCCTGCCCCTCTAATCTGTTGCAACCGTACAGTATGCTGGGGGAATATGGCAACTTAGACTTCCCAGGCCACCTCGGAATGTGGCTTCTATCTCTCATGGGTGAGCTAGCATTTCCATTCAAGCACAAGAAGTCAGTATGGTTTCAGTCAAAAGAGACTAAAAATCAGTTTGTTTGTGATGAGGAACTCCAGATAGGCAACCAGCTGTAAATTGGAACACACAGAAAATATTTATATTGTACCCAGAAGGGGTTAGTTGGGTGTTTCTATGTGGCAAAACTAACCCTTAAAACCTTAGAGAAACAGGTGTTTCAATGGCTAGATACAGACATATCCTGAGCTATAAGGGACACAGGAGTTCATCACTAAGAAAGGTTAGACTCCTACTTACGAGAATAGAATGTGAGATACTCCTTTTTCAAATGAAAATAAACTTTATTACATCAATTAATAAATATATAAAGGTTTATTGTTATTATTTATTTTATATTATTTATTATAGTTACTAGTATGTGTTTATTGTTGTTATATAAACAGTTTATTGAGCTCTTTTCAAATAATCATTCTGGGACAAACTCAGGAGGTGACATCTAAAGTCTTTATCTGAAAAGTAATTTTCTGAATTCCTGTTTGTAATAGCCTGACCAGTCCTCTCTGTTTAAATTGACTTCTCAGCACAATCATGTGGCTATTTAAACATATATAGATGTACATTTTAAAGTAGGGCCTATATCATGTAGCCAACTAGGGCATACCACACTTCTAGATAAAATATTCAGTCAGCATCTATTCATGGAAAACAAAATCCCCAGAGCTGTAGCTTCTGGGAAAGGTACAAAGAGCAACAATTTGGGCAACATTAAGTGTACTTAAAGGTAGAAAATCAAAGATGTGCCCTGATAATTTGCAGCAATCTGAGCTGACCTTTGTAATGCAGCTCCAATCTCAGTGCCTTAATAGGTTAACCAAGGTCATTCGTAACTACTTAAAATGCATATCCTCATCAACTGCAAAAATCATCTTTTCTCATATTTTATGTATTGGAAGGTTGAGGCAGAGGAGAGGGAGAAAAGGAGAAAGAACCCAAAGTGTTAAAATATTCAAAATAAAGTATTCGTAAAATATTATGAACATCACCAGAGGAATGTGTTGCTCCTTCTTCAGAAAGAAATGGGAAACTTTTGAAGTTAAGTGGGAGGCTAGGAATTTGCATTTTCTTCCATCTCTGCCAAGCATTCCTCGTCTAACCTGTCCTAACCCTCAAGCATGAATGATGCCTCTTTTAGCCTCCCCAAGGCACTTTTGTTCTTGTATTCAAGGATCTGCCTATTTTCTGTGGGGATCCTGGTTGCCTTCTGTACCCTAGGTGTAGTCTAGAGACAGAACTTCATAATGATTGATCAACGGTAAGGAAGGGGTGGGTTTTGCCACGTAGACAGAAGGAGAGGGGCTGCTTTTGGATAGGGAAGTCCCAGAAAAGTGTGTTCCAATTGAGCTTATAAGACATGCCCAGCAGTTCCAGAAACCTCATCCCTCTTTCTAACCCCCATTACTACTTCCTTTCTTTACCATTTTAACACTGGGACTGATACAGAAACCAAATTTAGCAGAATCTGTGTGGGAAAGTACATCCGCTATAGAGGAATGGACCAGGGCATTGTGTCTTCTGTCAAAGGACTAGCAATTCTTAGCAGAAAAGGAACTAAGGGTCAAACTATTTGCCCAGAGATTATTCTTTACCTGGTGATCTGCTCTGGAAATCTGCAGATTTGAAGGAAGCAAAAACAAATGAGGGGAAGCTGATGATTTTGAAATTAAGCCACTTTTACTTTCGACGATCCACTTTCTGGAAGAAGGTGGAGTCTTCTGGCTTCTAACTGAATCATTATATTTTCAGAATGTATAAATCTCTTTAGAAGATGAAAATTTGTTGGGCTCTTTAGTGCTCAGAAGGGGAAAGAAGTGACTTGGTCCTGGAACAATATTAGTGTTAACTTCATTTTTCCCTTGATTTAAAAAAAATACCTATATGTGTATATGTGTGTGCATATTCTTACTTTCTACAGAAGGAATATCCACATGTTTTTGATCATTTTGGAAGAGCTATAGCCAGAAGAAAGACAACTAAAACTTGGTCCTGGGCTACCCCAATTTGGAGAGATTCTAACAGCACTTTTAGTCTTTTGTCAACACAGAAATAACTGAGCTTTTCTATCTAAGAAGAATAACTAGTGAAAATAAATTCTTACAACATGGCAGCTTCTCCCTACCCAACTCAGTAGCTATACCTCAGGGATATCCCCTCGGCCCCCAGTTAAGGACACATT